GGCCCATCATCCTGAATCAGGGAGATGAGACTCCCTTGGCTCTGTGACCTCTGATTTTTTTTTTTTTTTTTGGTGTGCCATAGGTGCAGGGCTTCTCAGTTTTGGATTTGGACAGTCAGTTGGGCTATAGTGATCAGACTTACATTGTTGCCAAAGTGGCTATTTGTTCCTTTTGGTATTTGTCAGACTAACTATATCAAATTGTAAGGAGCTCCCCTATTCTCTGTGCTGAGGCAGAAGAGGGTTTGGACATCACTCTGCTTGTCAAAGATCTGTGGCCAGATCTTTCCTAGTCCTCCTGTAATTGCTGCTAGGACGAGAAACACAGTAACCTCACCTCCTGTCATATCAGCATTTTATTGTATGGCTCAGCCCTGGAGTAGGGAAGGACTGTGCCTTTTCTGTGATCTGGGATAGGACATTGAGAAATGCGGTTGGTATGAGTGCGGTCACAAGACGGTGATGTGATTGTAAATCTCGAAAGTATCTGAATTACTTTTATCTTGGTGTCTTTAGCCTTGAAGAGGGAGGACAGAGGTTAGGGTAAGCTGGTCTTGTACTAGGAGTCCCAGACAAACATTTATTAAATGACTAATGTGCCTCTGTGCAGAGTTCAGCAGAATATGACCCAAAGGTTAAGGTAGCAAAGGAGACAAGCACAAATAGTCGAAGTCCCTAGCATTTTTGCCCTTGGTTATTGCTTAAGATCCAAAGGTATTGCTATGAAACCTAAGTTGTGCTCAATTTTTCAGCAATCATCCTGCCTCAGTCTACCTGGTTCTAAGAGGACAGTCATGCAGTGCCAAGGTCAACCTCATTTTGTTTTAGTTACCCATTAGACACTGTGGGCCAGAGCATCAGTGCTTACAGTAAAGTAAGAGGCTTTCAAGTAAACCCTTGAAAAGTACTCTATGGGGCTTCTGTCATTTTAAACCAAACATCAGAGATGTCAGTCACCGTAGCACGAGTCCTGCCCAGCTCATTGCCTCCACAGCTACTGATTTTCAAAGTAAACTAGGAACCAGCAAAGCTAGAATTAGATAGCTCCATACTTAAGAGCATGTACTGTTTGTGCAGAGGAACTGAGTTCGGTTCTCATAACCCATATGACACTCAGTCATGGGTTCTGAGACAATGGAGTGAGCTGGTAACCCTACGGTTCCTGTGTGGGTCGCTTCATCTCTCCACCAACTCACTGGTCTCATCTGCGCAATGGACACAGCTTGGTTGTCAAAGCAACTGATAGGTCTAACCTCTGCAGGCTCTCGGTTCTGTAGCTTCAGCACTGACTCTAGCCATCTCACTGGCCCCAGTTATCAGACACCCCTTCCCAGATGTCCTCCATACGTGGCTCAAAAGGTCAGAAAGGATGTCTTTTGTTTTGGTCAAGTTCATGGGGCTATTGGATATGGGCTTTGCTGAACATAGGACTCAAGACCTTTTGCCAGAAGTAAATAGAGTGTCCAGATTCTTGGGACACCCTATCTTATTTTTTCCCCGAAGTGCAAGAGCAGACACTGCCCTTTAGAAGGGTGATGTGTTTTTCAGGGATCTTAGACGATGGTGATGATAGTGAGGAGAGTCAGAGTTTTAGCTTGTGAGAAGTCCTGCCAGATCAGCTAGCATCTGTGTTCACCCCTGCAAACCCTCTTGCTGATCCTTTTGAGGCAAAGCTTCTCAGTCTCCAGCAAGGGCACATTTTTCAGCGGTCAGCTCTCCTGTCCTCAGGGAGTTATGCAAGGTGAGAAGCCATGGTCCTAGGCTCAGCCTAAGGGTAGGGGTGGAGCATGTGGACAGGAAAGAGCAAGAAAGATGGAAGATAGCTCTAGTTCAGGCCTTGGAACTGGGGTCCACTGCTGTGCTCTGGGGCCACTGCAGAAAAAGGGTTCAGGGCAGAGTCTGGAAAACTTCAATAGAGCAGGAAGACTCCAGACACTTTAAGAAGATTTTTTTTTCTTTCGGGGGGAACGGGTACAAGGGAAGAGAGTTTACAGTCATCTCTATCATCTTTATGGAGGCAGAAAGATGACCTGGTGAGGAAGGATTGGTTCTAACCCTTTCCCCTCAGCAATCCAGGGAACTCCTATTAAGTTGAACTCAGGGTCCAGAGCACTCACATTGCCACAATAACTAGTCAGTAGTAACTAGTAACAAGATGCCACAATAACTAGTCAGTAGTAACTAGTAACAAGATGCCACAATAACTAGTCAGTAGTAACTAGTAACAAAATGCCACAATAACTAGTCAGTAGTAACTAGTAACAAAATGTACTTGAAAAAATTTTTTGAGACAAAGTCTTACTATGTAGCTCTTACTGGCCTGAAACTTGCTGTGTAGACTAGGCTGGCTTGAACTCACCAAGATCTGCTTGCCTCTGCCTTTCAAGCACTGGGATGAAAGACATATTCCACCATATAAGGCAACACTTAGGATTCTTAGGGTAGGAATCTTGGAGATAGAAAATTAAGTCTCTAACAAGGTAAAGTGCAGACATGTTGAAGTCAGGTGCTGAGGTGGGGTGGAGTTCTGAGTGAAGGCCCAATTAAGCATTCTTTCCATGTGCATCCTCCAACCCCATGTCTCCACCAAGACATGTCTCTAGGCCTCTCCCAGCTTTCTCTCAGTGGACACAGAAGCTGTGTTCCCAGGGGCTGTGGCTGTGCCCAGAAACATGGAGGGCTGTTGGATAAGAAAGTGGGCTCAGGAGCCAGGCTCTTCCAGCCTATTAAACATTCGTTTGTCATTGTCTGTTTCTCCCACTAGATTGTCATCTCCCTTGAGAGGGACCGTGTCTATTTTGTTTACGCTATATCCCCGATGCCTAGTGTCAGTGCCTCTAATTACTTGTATAAACAGTGAATAGCAAGCCTGCCACTCACTAGTTATATGATTTGGGGCAAGTCATTACCTCTCAGAGTTAACATTTACCAAGCCCTCACTGTATTTTAGCAATGTTTATTCTATGAACCTTGCTTGTGCTAACTCAAACTCCACAACCACCTTATGAGATGGTTACTATTTTTATTTCCATCAATGAGGAAACTCAGGTCTCAAGAGCAGAGACGACATGCTTAAGGTAGCTGGTAGCAGAGGCTTAACACAGGTGAGACTAAGTCACTGACCTAGAAGCAAATTAATTGTTGGTCCACTTTGGCCCCTCCTTCTGTGGCCGTGTGACCAGCTCTGTCCTGTGTCTCAGACTGCTCATAGCTCCTTGCCAATAAAACAGAGTTAATCACAACTTTTCTTTCCTTCTGCCTCCATTGCTCACTCCCCTTACCCACAGCCTGGCAACCCCTAAAAGGAGATTGTGTCACAGACAAAGCTGGGTACTGGGCCCAGGGTGCGGTCAAGGGCTCCCAGACTGCACGTATAGACATGAGGTTTATGTCACTGGTCAGGAAGCCAGCTTTCTCTTCTCCTTCCTGTATTCTTCTGGGTATTGGGTTTTCTTTCTTGTGGAACAGGAAAGCCTAGGAGTGGAAGAGAAAAGAGAAGCAACCAGAAGGGATTTCCATGCATGGTCAGTGGTAGTCTCCCCGATGTCAGCTAAGAATGGCAGGGAAAAACAAAGAAAGGCCGGAAATGCCAGGCAGAGTTAAAATGGCCTAGTTCAAACATCAAAGAACAACAAGGTAGTAAGAAAAAATCTCAGACCAGTCATGGTGGTGCATGCCTTTGATCCCAGTACTTGGGAGGCAGAGGCAGGCAGATCTCTGTGAGTTTAAGGTCATCCTGGTCTACATAGTGAGTTCCAGAATAGCCAGGGGTATGTAGAGAGACTGTCTCAAGAAACAAAACAAGTTCCATTGGGGTTGGAGAGATGTCCCAGAGGTTAAGAGTACTTGCTGTTCTTGCAGAGGACCCAAATTTGGTTCCCAGCACTCACATTAGGGGGCTCACAACTACCTGTACCCCCAGTGCTGTGGGGACTCAGTGCCTGTGGCCCTTGTGAGCACCAGCACTAATGCGTACAACACTCATAGACATACACATGAGGGAAAATAAATTAGTCTTTCAAAATAAAATTAAATCTTTAAAACAAGAAAACAAAACAAATAAAAACTAATTAAAACCAAACAAAACAAAACCTTAAGCGATGGCGAAATCTGTGAAGTTGAGCAGGTCAGGCACCGTGAGGGCTCTGGCCATGCCCAAGCTCAAATTCGTGTTTGATGATTTTGGGAAAAAGACACAAGCTGAAGCCCAGGGCTCACAGATGAGACAAGTAGAGACTTGACACTGGAACCCCAAAGGCTAATATGCTTAAGTTAAAAGGAATGCGCTGCCCCATGACTGCCTGGAAACCGCCCCAGCACAGAACAGAGTAGTGGAACTGGAAACCAGCTTCCTCAGGAGCTCAGGAGCTTGGGGACATGCCAGCTCTCTCATGAATGTGTGGCCCAAATTGGTCCATTATCACTTGGAGCAGAGAGGCAAGAAAGTTCAAGCCCTGACAGCTGGTGGCTCCCTAGAAGGAACACCCTTCTTTCTAGGCCTCAAAAATACCTCATGACGATTTCTTCCAGCAAAATAAGCAATTCACAGCCAAAGGCCACCCAACACTCAGTGATCTGGAGGCTGGGGAGATAGTTTCAGACTCCTCACCTGGAAATAGGGGCCTTAGCCAGATGCTCTTAAGGTCTCCCCTGCACAGATACTCTCTGGAGGTATACCCTGAGAGAGTCCAAGGTGTGTTCCCATTTTGTATTCTTGGTCTCCTCACAATAAAAAGCTCAGGAGAGGGATGTGCATGGCTGAAGGATGCAAGAAGGAAGCTGTTACCAGTTCCCAGCTTTGGGGAAGGACAGAGGGGGAAGGAGTGGGGAGCGGTGCCTGAGACTCTGACTGCGTCTTTGATGTGTGCGTTGCTAGGTGGGCGGTGGGCCTGTAATAGAGGCTACTGAGGGAAGGAGGCAGGGGACCCTGGGGGCAGCCTCAGTGTTGACCTACTTGGGTCGTTTTAATTGCTCCCTTCATCTCTCGAGAGGCTACAAATAGGGACACTCAGTCAGTAGGCTCCTACAGCTGGAGCAACAGCAGCAGTGGTGAGTACGGTTGCTTGGGAAATGCCTTGGGCTGGAGCTTGGGGCAACTCAGAAAGCCCTCAATAGGTAGCCTGTTCCTGGATGCAGGGTCTGGATATGGGAGCAGAAAGGTGACGTTAGCAGGTGATGGGAACTCAGAGGTTCCCTTGTACACTAAGGCACTGTAAGGATGCTTGATTTGGTGGAGTGTGCCCAGCCACCATCTAGTACTGATGTGAGGACAGTGGCTAGCTATGCTTCTGGGGAAGCCGTTAGGGAGCTTCTTGCTCTTGCTCCTTGACTCTTTGCTTCATTCCTGGGGATGAGTTGGGACAGGCCAGGGCTGCAGGAGAAGAGAGGATTCCTGTGAGTCTTCAAGCCCCATGCTTCTGAAATAGCAACTGAAGTGGCGCCAGGCAGGCTGGGAGGAACTCAGAAGGGCTCTGAGGAGCAGAGCTCCTGGGATCACTGCACTTTCCTCTCCAAGGATCATGGCACTTTCCTCTACTGGGAATGTGGATCCTTGCTCCAGCGCCTGGGCTGTCACAGAGAATTAGACCCCAGTAGTGCTTGCCACTTCAGCCCCAATTCCCCTATTTCCTTGCCAGCTACATTCTTGCTGGCCATTTGCTCCCAGTAGAGGAAACTCACCAGGAAGAGTTTTGGCTCTGGCTGCACTGTGTTGCAGGACTCCTGTTCCCCAAGGGAGTTAGGAGTGAGTCATTGGACTCACATGGAAACAACTCCATTGCTTTCCTGCCAGCCCTGGGTTTGCCCAGCCTGCATGGGCAATGAAGGGGACAACAGATGTGAGGTGAGGGAAGGGAGTCTAGAAGTGTCTTCCTTCCATTCCAGTGGGGGACTCTTCTCAAAGCCCTCTGAGGTCCCCCAGGGGAGGGGAGGATGGCTAAAGGATGGGGTAGGTCATAGATGAGTAGATCTTTGAACTGGTGGACTCTGCAGACACCACCTGGTCCATGTTTCTGACTAGGCCTTTGAGGCTAGATTATCCCACTCTACAGATAAGACAACTGAGACCCAGAGAGAAACAGTTCACCCAGGGCTTCAGAGTGCACAAGAGAATGAGGGCCCCCAACTGCAGCTTCTTTGAGTTCAGGGCAGAGGCACAGTGAGGTGGAGGGATCCTCTCAGGCCTTGCCATTGCCTCTGGCATTAGCCTCACCAGAATCTGGACGAAGAAGCCCTGAGCAGGGCTTCCTGTGCAAGCTCTTACAGGATGGGGCTCCAAGTCTCCAAAAGGCAGAGCTTTCTAGGACCAGGAGCAGCATCACATGGAATGGTACCCAATAGGAGACTGAGGATTCCCAGGTGTTGTGATGAGAAAGGATGGGAGGGAATCAGAGTCCTGAGGGAGGGTCCCAGTTAGGGGTGGATATTCTGATTCTGGGGAATTTATGGTGATGTCTAGAACTGAAACTTCTGTCTAGAAAAATCACAATGGGGAGGTGAATTGATTGTGTGTGTGTGTGTGTGTGTGTGTGTGTGTGTGTGTGTGGTCAAGGAGGGCTGCTCAGAGGCAGGGGTGCTTTAGCATGATGGAGATGGACAGATTTGGAATTAGTTCCTGGGAAACACTGAGGAAAAGGAGAGTCATAGCCTGGATCTCCTTGTGAGTCATACCCTTGTTTTGTGACAGTGAGGATGGCCCGGCCCCTGGAGCAGGCAGTAGCTGCCATCGTATGCACCTTCCAGGAGTATGCAGGGCGCTGTGGGGATAAATACAAGATCTGCCAGTCGGAGCTCAAGGAGCTGTTGCAGAAGGAGCTGCCCACCTGGACCCCGGTGAGCCTCATACCTCTCCCCACTTGGACCCTGCAGAGAGCAGCCTAGGGCCAAGCACCAGCATAGGACAGCAAGAGGGAGAAGCTAGATTGTGGGGAGGGGGCAATATAAGGAAATGAGCTGACACGGCTTCATGGGTCTTAGTGAAATAGAATGTGAACAGGTTGACAGTCACTGTCCTGTGGCCAATGCCTCACTCATAGCAGGATTTCCATAGCAAGGAGCAGGTGCTCAGCAGATGGGCTGAGAAGCGGGGCTGGGAATGGGGATTGAAATGGGTGTCCTATCAGATGGGTAGGATGAGGCTGGCTCCATGAGTGTTTTGGCTTGCAGTGGGGGCAGCCTACCCATCAGAGGGAAATGCTGTGGGAAGCTGCTTTGGCTCCTCATCCTGGTTTTCTGACTCTCCCTTCTCATCCCCTCCACAGAGTGAGTTCCGGGAGTGTGACTACAACAAATTCATGAGTGTTCTGGATACCAACAAGGACTGCGAGGTGGACTTTGGGGAGTACGTGCGCTCACTTGCCAGCCTCTGTCTCTACTGCCACGAGTACTTCAAAGAGTGCCCCCCTGAACCCCCTTGCCCCCAGTAGCCTCTGATCCAAAGCCTTGTGCTATCACAGAAGGGCAGGGTCTGCTCCAGTGCACCATCTTTGTCCCTGAGGTGGTCCTGGGTGTGTAGCTACATCCTTCCTACTCTCTCTGTGGTACCCCTTTTAATATAGACTTGCCAAGTCCTTGATGTGCTAACCCCAGCTACCCATGAGCTTCTGAGGCTTTCTGAGTGATGTCTAGCTAGTGAGGGGTGGAATAGTAGCCAGCCTTTGCTGCTTCTCTTCTTGGAAGGGAATAACATGTCTGCTCTTACCTTGGAAGCTCAGAATGTGCATGCAATTGGGACCGCTGTGTCAGGGGCCTCCTCAACTCCCAATAAAGAAATGTCATCTTGGCTTACTTTGGTTTTTCTGATGAGACATACTGGACCATGGGACTGAGTCCTTGTTCCTCTATGCTCCTTACCACTGGAGGAAGGAGACTTACCACTGAAGGCACGGGCTCCCAAAGCAGAGTCAGACCCTGTAGAAATAAATGCACATGTCTCAGAGTCCAATAGGAGGGTGAGGGCAACACAAGGTCCCGTCAGAAGAATGGAGGGTCTCTGTCTCCATCCCTCTGTCCTCTGTCTTGAGGTAGAAGTCCTTATCTTGGGCCTTTAAGGAGGACAAGGGGCTCCTTGAGAGGTACTCAGTACTTGTGACCAGAAGCTACAAGGAGGGTGTGATTGTGGGAGCTCAGAGCCAAATCCCCATCTAGCCTTCACTCAGTCCCTGTGTTTGTACCCTATCCTTGGAGATTAATCCCGACTTTCCATTTTGCCTATTCTTTAACTCTCTTCTCCAAGCTCAGCATTCAATCCCGAATGCTCCCGCCATCCCTAATGCCCTTACTTGAGCTTCCATCCATTCATGAACCTACAGGTCACACTGCCACCCTAACTCCGTCACGACCTCCTAGGTATAGTTCCCACTTAATATTTGGGGGATTTGCTAGTCTCCACCCTGGGTCTTCCTGATTGTGACAAGAAGCTGCTTAGGCCGGAGAGAAGGGCTGACATTGTCCTGCTGGCTGGGGTCACTGCCTTAATTTCTGGGCCACATATTTCCAGGACAGTTTCCCATCTCTCGTCCATAACACCTCCATCTCCTTTCCTGTGACCCACACCTCATGTCCAGGTTGCCCGTTGTCAAAGCTTCCTAAAACCCTGACTGAGCTATGGCTACTTGGTGGTGTTCACCCCACCCAAGTCTCTGCCCTGCCCATGGAGCTCACCCACTACTTGATTGTGCCTGCTGGGGAGCAGGAAACCTGGTTGGGCTGGGCTAGTGGAGGGTGCTGTGACATTTACTACATCAGCCAACGGCAAGAGCGCAGTGTCCATGTTCCCCCCATCCTCTGCATGGGCAGGGCCTGGCAGGGTATAAATAGGTCAGATTGTTGGGCTCTCCCCAAACCTCTCTGTTCAGCACTTCCTCTCTCTTGGTCTGGTGAGTTGTGTTGGCCTGATAGCACTGTTAGCGGTGTTAGAGGCTGAGGCTAGGGGAGGAGAAATGGGGGCTGCTGGGAGGACAGATGTCTTTAATAGATCCAGATGAGAGATTCTGATGTAGAGGTGTGTGTGTGTGTGTGTGTGTGTGTTGCATAAAAATGAAAATAAAAAAGTGCCTAAATGGCTGCATTTGAGCTCCTGGAGGCTCTGAGATGCTGAGGCTTGCTTGTCTGTTGCTGTAGTGTGTGTTGGTGCTTGGGAGCCACTGTGATGGATAGGTATGGTGACTTGTATTGCTTGGTCATATAAGTCAGTGTGTGGACACTCGGATACAGGAAGTGAAGTGAAGGCATCAGTAGGCCTTTTTGTTTTACAATGTTTAAATTACAGTACGAGTGTACGGGTTGGGCTGAGGCAAATGCCAAGGTGGACTTGTGGGAGTCAGTCTGTTCCTTCTAGCATGTGAGCTCTGGGGATCAAACTCAGGGCTTTGAGCTTGGGGGGCAAGCACCTCTACCCACTGAGCCGTCTCTCCAGCACCCACCTGTAGGCATGTGTGTTCATAGTGTGTTTTGTGTTCATAGTAATTCATAGCCCTATGAACATATAGCACCTAGGCCAAGAGAACCTGGCTTCCCCACCTCCCCCCCCACCCTGTAGCCCTACCTCTGCTACTTCATCTTACTCTTACTAGGCAGCTGGGTTTTTTCTGCTGTTGGCCCCTGGGCAGGCAGCCAGCAGCCGCGCCCAATGCTGGGAGAAGAATGGGTCAGAGCTTGGTGCTTGTGGTTGAGTCGTGGGAGTGAATAAGCTCAGTGAGGGATGGAAAACTGCTGGTGTTGAGGCCAGGCATGAGGGAGGCACAGAAGGCTGCTGGTATGGATCTCCAGTTTGAGTGGTAGGGTTTGCAGGTTTCAGAGCCCAAAGCACATTCAACCTTCTTGCCATCAGTGGGTCCCATTCCTCTGGTCTCCCTGTGAGTCAGGTCAGTCTCTTGAAATGCTCTTGGAGAGTAGGTTGGGGTAGAACACTTAAAGTGGGGACAGACTGAGTGTGACTTGGGTGATGCTCAGTGACACATATCCAGTTCTCAACACACTGTTGGTGAGGGGTTGGACAAAGCTACTTCTGTGTCTCTTGCCCTTAGGTCTCAGCAGTTACCATGGCGAGACCCTTGGAGGAGGCCCTGGATGTAATCGTGTCCACCTTCCACAAATATTCAGGCAAAGAGGGTGACAAGTTCAAGCTGAACAAGACAGAGCTCAAGGAGCTACTGACCAGGGAGCTGCCTAGCTTCCTGGGGGTGAGTGGGTCCTGCCTGTGTGTTGTATGTGCGATGCATCCCCAGGCGGAGGCTGGGGCTGGTAGGCACTAGCCTTGATGCAGTACCGAGTTATAGCTGGCATAGATCCCTGCTCCAGGTGCTTGGTATAGAACCACAATTAACCATCTACTTCACACTAGCCCCCAGCTGAGACAAGGCTTAGGATGAAGATAACTGAAGAGGCAGAGGAAAACCAAACAACCGCATTAGGCAGTCAGTGTCTGAAACCACAGCCTAGATCAGTGCCGTCTTTCCGGCGATGGGCAATAGAAATCAAGTTTCTATTTGTAAAGACACGATTGTGGAGGCACACGAATGTTGTAGATTCTCCCCTCAATAACACCTTATATTAGTTAACGTATCACTATCATGACAGTTACCTATTAAGATAATTAAAAGAAGCACAGGGAAGATGTGGTCACATCCTTTCCCAGCTATCCCATGTGTTCATCCCATAGTTTAGCTCGGGAGCTAGCAAGGAGTGCCTGGGAACCTTCCTGAGCTCCTGGCTGGAGGCACATATCTGGTTTGAGCTGGCTTCTAACTGCACGTCTTCTACCTCCAGAAAAGGACAGATGAGGCTGCATTCCAGAAGGTGATGAGCAACTTGGACAGCAACAGGGACAATGCAGTTGACTTCCAGGAGTATTGTGTCTTCCTGTCCTGCATTGCCATGATGTGCAATGAATTCTTTGAGGGCTGCCCAGATAAGGAGCCCCGGAAGAAGTAAAGACTCCTTGGATGAAGTGTTGGGGTGTAGCCTGCCAGTGGGGGCTCTTTCCTGTTGGCTGCGAGCATAGTGCCTTACTCTGGCTTCTTCATACGTGTGCACAATGCTGAGCACGTTCAATAAAGAGTTTTGAAACTATGAGCTGTTGTCTGAGAGACTGGAGATTGTGGGTTGGGGGCTGAGGGAGAGTCGTGGTAGAGACTGCTGGAAGTTGACCTGGAGTTTTGTGGGGGCCTAACTAGAAAAGGTTGGGGTGGGGTAGGTGGCTTGTTTTGAGTGCATTGCAAGTGTGTATTTGTGTGTGCTTGCTTGTGCGTGGGTGCATGGGTGCATGCGTGCGTGTGTGTGTGCATGTGTGTGTGTTTGTGTGTTCACATGCTCCTGTACATGTAACAAAGCAAACTCCGGGAACCACCAGAGGCTTGGCTTGAAAGGCTCCAGATGTGGGATGTTAGCCAGCCCACGGTTCTCCCTCCTTTTTCCAGTACTGCCTCTGGGCTCAAACTGAATTGTGATGGGATTAAAGGTCACATCTGTTGCTGGTTGGGGTCTGGAGGGAAGACAACAGGCCTGCCTGAGTCATGAGGAAAAAGTCTTGAAGCCAGAGAAGAATGGGGAGGTGGACTGGCACTCAGCCGTGACATTTATAGTCCAGGTCCTGCCCTGCTACCCATTCCAGCTCATTGGCTTCCAACACTGGATTAATCCTTTCCTGTCCATGAAGGGTTGGATGAAGAAGGGTAATATAGAGGGAGGCCATTTGTAGTAGCATAAGAATCTCTCTCTCCTCCTCCTCCTCCTCCTCCTCCTCCTCCTCCTCCTCCT